TCCCGCAGATTTCCCAGGACGCCCCTTTTCCAACCCGCTGCCCCCCCCCCCCCCCCTCCCCCCTACCACCTCCCCTCCCCTCCCCACGTCCCCGCTCCGTCCCGCGCGCCATGGCGGAGCACCTCGTCTCAATCTACGGCACGGAGAAGGACAAGGTCAACTGCCCGTTCTACTACAAGATAGGCGCGTGTCGCCACGGCGACCGGTGCTCGCGCGTCCACAACAAGCCTCTGTTTAGCCAGACCCTCCTGTTGCACAACTTGTACCAGTCGCCCGACCAGATAATCGCCTCCGCCGCCGCCCAAAGCCTACCGCCGCCCGACATCCCGCCCGACGACCTGCGCCACCACTTTGACGATTTCTACGCCGACGTGCTCCACGAAATGCTCAAGCACGGCCCCGTCGACGAGCTCCGCGTCTGCGAGAACCTCGCCGACCACCTCGCGGGCAATACCTACGTCAAGTTCGCCGATGAAGAGTCGGCCCAGAACGCCCTCAACGCCCTGCACGGCAGATGGTACGCTGGCAGACCCGTTTTGGTCGAGTTCTCCCCCGTCACCGACTTTCGGGAGGGCAAGTGTAGGCCGTTTGAGAGGTATGGACAGTGCGAACGAGGAGACTATTGCCATTTCATGCATCTCCGAAGGCATCCGGGCGGCACCAGGCCGGACGACCACGACCCCCGTCCGGATCGCCTCCGCTATCCACATTCATCGCGTGATAAATATCGCGATTATCCACCGCGCGACTCGCGCGATTATCCAAGGTATCAGTATGACGACAGGCGCTCGGAGAGAGACAGGAGAGAGGGCCCTGCCAGGTATCGAGAAAGGTCGAGGCCAAAGTCGAGGGAGAGGGGTCGCTACTCGGATTATGACAAGTCGTACAAGTCCACGAGGGAAAGGAAGAGCCCTTATCACGATTAGAGACCAAGACTTTTTTTCGGTATAGTTAATCTTTTACAAGGAATGAACTAGAAGTGTTAATGCACATACACGCAACTTATGCTTGTTCTAAAACTCAGTAAAATTCTCCTCTGCAAACCCTATCGCCTTCAAGCTGGGCACGCATGTGAGGTGCACCATCTGCGGCGGTCCGCACATCCCAATGAATGTGTCAGCCCCCGGCTCCGGAAGCCGCTTGCGAATCATCGACTCGTTCACACGCCCCAGGCTGTACTTCCATCCCGGGATAGGTGCCGACCATCTCTGCATAGTCTTCCAGTACTTTTGCTTCCACTTCGGCCCGAACCGACCCACTGTGTACCACAAATGAATGTTCTCACGCTCCGCAGCCATCTTCTCAAGCTCCTTCCGCATCAAAATGTCCTTCTCCGTTCGATTCGCGTATAGCAAATGCACATCCGTCTTGTCCTCTGGATCCCTGTAGATTGCCTGAATCACTTGGTATGCCGGCGTCAGACCAGTCCCACCACAGATAAGGCCAATCTTCGACGCATGCCTGTCTTTACCCTTGACAGTGAAGTTCCCTCTGCCCTTGTACTCAAAGTGACCCAACGGTCCCTTCACCTTCAGCATATCACCAATCTGCATCCCCTCCATGTACTGTGACATTTTCCCGCCATCCTGGAATTTCGGGTGCACATCGGCAAAGTACACCTTGACGCACAGGGTGAAGTGACCCAAGTCATCGTCAGAAGAAACAGGAGTGTATGCGCGCATGACCATTTTCCCATCAACAACTGCCTGCGCAAACAAATGATGTCCCACAGGAAGGCCTAGACGATGCTCCGGTGATGGCAACTTGAATTTCAACAGTCTCGTGTCGTGAGAAATCTCAACCTTCTCGATGAGCTCAAATGCGGTCCATTTCTTAGGGTCAAGTGCCACTTTGTCGCCATCCTTCAAAGAGAGCGTAGCTTCAGTAACTTCATCAAATTCTGTTTTGGAGAGGTCAGAAACGCTGGATGCGTCAAGGTATTCAGTATCATCTTCGACGTCGCCAATATAATACTTCTCAAGCATTCTTGTAGCTAGAGCAGAATGGATAGCATTGAACTCCTCTGAAACGTCTTCTCCAGCGCCCATGACGATGGCATTCACTCCTCCAGGATGCTCGTCTAAGTATGATGTGGTGTCATATACCTTACCATCGACGATAATCCAAGCTGATTGCTCTGAATTGTGCTTTTTGACTTCCTCCAACGTGAACTTTTTCGAACGTTTGGCTTTTTCGGTACCGGAACCACTGTTTGCTGGCACAGGTGCGGACGATTTGGAAGGGCTAGTTGACATCATCCACCCGCCTTCTGCCGGGCCTGGCACAGTCGGGTGTTGAAAGTCAATGACAGTGCCGTTAGAAGTCTCGACGGCATTCATCTTAATAGTAAAGTGGCGATTGTTGGCCATACCCATAAGATTCCACGTGCCCTCTTTCGGTTGCGTGTTGTTGCTTGAATCCCACGCCCGACACTGGAACTGACCAGATGAAAGACAGGCTTTATAGAGATCTTCATGATGAATATCCAATTCCCAAAACATCCAACAATAATACTTCCCTGTGCTAGGCGCATGACTGTGTTTCTCCTCGGGATACGAGGTTTTGCAGCTCAGCCATGTCTCGCCACAGTCCAGAGAGATCTCCACTCTACTGACTTTACGTCCCCCGCCAGAGTATGCGTATCCCTTGATGCTGTAAGTACCCGAATCGGTGACAACCAGACGCTCTCCGTTCGCTGGGTGAGCAATTGCGGAGTTGATGTTCATCTCATTGAAAAAAAAGTCATCACTGTACCACAAGCCCTGTTCGTGTGCAAACTCGGCATCAACGTGCGGGGGGAAGACTCGATTATCAAAGAAATGATAATAGTGTTCTGATGGCTTCTCTCTTACTTCGATCGTCGACAAATATTTCACCATTCTTCCTGCAATCCAGCCAGGAATAATGAGCCTCACAGGAAAACCATGGTCTGGTTTGAGACGCACACCATTTGCCTCATACGCGACAAGTACATCACCATAGGGGTTCATCGCAGTGGCGACATCAATCGAGGTTCCGTACGCACCCGTAGGCAGCTCTTCCTTGCTGGTAGCCTCGAAACTAATATGCTTTGCGCGTTGCATATCAATCCCGGCCATATTCAGTAAGGTCGTTAGGCGAACACCTTTCCACATAGTACAAGCAGTGGCACCAGCACCATAGTTGAAACCAACTGTTTGCTTGGCCATGTTTATTTCTTTCCGGCGGTTGCCAGAGCAAGTCAGTGACACTGGCATGGTAACTGATGGAAGCTTGATAAGCTCGTTCATAGAGAAGGACAATTCAGTTGCAACAAGACCTCTTATTGTGAGACGGTGCGTTTCCCAATTTGTGGGTGCGACTTTTCCATGGTTCCGTATAAAGTGCACTGAAATCGGAGTGATGAAACCTTGGTCCACCAACTTGCTCAGCGGAGGCTCAGCGTTCAGCGGATGCTTGCCGGTTAGACGAATGAGTTCTGGATTACGGGGAACCCATGAGTCGGGGGATTTTTCATCTCGGATGTCAATTTTGGTGGCGACATGGTTCTTAGGGAGAAGACTAACAGTAGAAGTCGTCATCTTAACCTAGTGCGTGGAGAGATGACTTTGAAGTGCAGCCACAGTTGCGATGTACAAGAACTCCTTATGTATAGAATTCCTGAGAGCCCTTTCTGAACCCTTTCTCAGGTTGCTTGTGCACATCAATCGACAACGAGTTAGTAGAATTTGATATACGTCCTGAAGGAGACAGGCGCATCACATTTCTACATTATTTGGTGATGTGTTCAGAATGCAGACACGGAAGGTACAAGTACATACTGTACTGCTTGGGACATTCAGTTTCTTTGGATTAGGATAGGAAGGCGGAATGGCTTCGGAGACGTCTTACTGGTTTCCAGAATTAGGAGAAAGGACCAAAATGTCGACAGCAAGTCGAAGGGCATTTCCTAGGTTTCACAGGTAATGAGGAGAAGGAGAAAACAGATTGGAAAGATTTGAGATAACTCTGTCATTGCTGCTGACTATGGCTCCCCAAACTGTGTCGGGCCGGACGTCCGTCCAATGGATGGCTTTAGAAATCCTCTATGGTTCTAGCAACGATGCTGCAAAAGCACACATGATGTAAATCCTATCTTGGAAAGGGTGAATATTCATGCTTTCAAGATTCTGGCGGCATGCTGCAAAACACACACGGCTGCCCTCCGTAGGGTCTCTTGGAGGCTTGCTTAATAGGAGCAACCCTTTAGAGTTTTGAGGTGAGCTTCTCGAATTGAGCGTAAAATATGTTCTTTATCATGTATATTTTGAGGCGAATTTTCACGGATGAATGCAGAGTGTGCTGAAACAGGTTTTTGCTGAATTCAACTCCAACATGTGTGCACAGATTTCTTCAATTTCACCAGCGAATCACTCATGTACAGTAATGCTATCTAGGTGCTGTCTAAAATTCAAGGTATGTCATAACGGGCAGTCTCCCAAAACTCTAAAAAGGGATGGACCAGGATGACGTCAGATAAGACTGGGGTTTACGTAAAGGCATTTTACTGTCCACAAGCAATGACAAGTGCGCTATGTGTGTTCTCGAGGGCTGTTTTTTTATACGAAGAACTTGTGCAGTCTCTTGTCCATGTCCCGCCATGACTAAGGTGCACCCAAAGTGCACATGGCATGAGGCAGGTCACGTCATGGGCTGCTGTCAGGGAGGAGGAGCAACAGTTTAGATAGGCAGTTGATCCTTAGTGCTGTCTGTAAATACCTTATGCAGCAATCTGCTCCATAGTCGAAATAGCGCTGTGTCAATGGACGGATTCTATCTCAAGTCGGAAAGAGGACGAAGCAACCACAGAGACAATTTCTCGTGCCATATCGCATAGGTTCCTTGATCATTGCCAGCTTCATTCGTATGGGTTATATTGCTGAAAGTACCCTTCGTATATACTTTTGTTGTTTCTGCGTTAATGCATGATTGGTTGTCTGTTGAATTACGCTCGTTACAAATGCTGGCATCTGCAATGCATCCCAAAGGGTATATTCATGGTTATGGAACTATGATCATAGGTTTTGGGAAGAAGGCAGGCAAGGTGGAGAGAGAAAACAAAAGCGCGATTCCGCAGAAAAGAAGAGATTGAGACAGCTGGAAAGCAATCTGCAGGTTCGCCCTCTTGTTCTTGTTACCTTTTAAAAATAAAGGAAGCACACGAATGCAGATTAGTAAGCGAAACGTCAGAGCCTCTTTTTTTCTTTTCTTTTTGACGTACTATGACGTGGGTTTTCTCTGTCAAGCATTCGTTGTTGGCCCGAATATATGGCTGTGCAGGACCCTATTTTCTTCTATCAAAATCTGGTTCGAAATTCTATGCAGCGTGCCAACGACCACCCGGATCATAGTGCATGAGTTGACTTGTACTACAGTAACAACATAACTGGAGGGGGGGCCCATACGTAAGAAGCGTTTTGCAGGAAGCTAATAGATGACGAACGGGCCTTCTTTCTTCAAGCGATGAAAGTGCTTGCAATGGCGTGGAGACAGCAGTCTCCATGCGAACATGGACCGCGATGCCGCTTGGTGGATGCACCACTGCTTCCTTCATCCTCAGAAAGAGATATGAGATTGTGGAGAAATTGCTGTTTTCAGATCAGCATACAGCAAAGACATGCCATTGTTCGCGATGTGCGAGGCATGGCATGCCCAATGGGTACAGTACATGCTAGTTGAGCGTGGGGAAGCAGTCACCAATCATGGTACTGGGACGTCAGTAAATACATGCTAACGGAATATTCCATGTTGAGGACACTGCGGGCCTTCCAGGGGGATGCGCTGTAACATGTGATTATATCTTTGCGCGTCCACGGTTATATACATGCGTACTATGAGTCCTTTGTACATGTTTGCATCTGAGAGTATAGGGTAGGGGTTCATTGATCATTAGGGTGGCGTCCATATCTATGTATTGGAAGGATGCGTGCGAAAAGGAAAGAGGAGCGGTGATGCAGCATGCACATCACTGCGAAACAGGTAGACGAGAATGGGTGTGATTCCTTCATGGCTGCATTGAGTCTGTGGGCATATGTTTGTGCAGTGGATTGACGAACTTCTTTTGGAATGCATGCAGCGGAGAAAGACACGAGGAACAGGCATCGCTGTCAGGAGAATCAGGCAGCAGGTCTGGTTTTAAGGTACTGTATGCAGAAAAATGAAATTTTTTTGGGTCAGGGTGTGTCTTAACAGGCTGTTTTTTTTTTGTTTTTTTTTTTGATTCTTGCTAAATTGTTGTAACCTTCACGATTCTATCTGTGTTGTTGAAGGGCACTGGTGGAAGCTGGTACAATGGAAAGCACAGCAAAAATTGTTGGCAAGGAAGGATTGAAATGGGCTGTAGAAATGATAGAGGAGTGGGGCACGGAAATGGAAACATTCCCGTGCGGTTCGATCACTTGACCATGTGTAACATGTGTAAGCGGGTGGGGATGTTGTGTGGCGCTTTAACCTATGGTGGAGTTTTGGTGCAATACTGTTATGGTGTTTTTGGTGCGACGAGTTTGAGAATAGAGCGTTGTGATTCGGCGGTCATGCGGGGGCGAAGGGAGTGCGGTGTCGTGCATGTTGGAGAGCAGGCCGTAAAGTTCACATGAGATTTGGTTTTGAGGACGAAGTATCGGATGCCTAGGTAACCTCCAGTAGCACGCGAGGGTGGCTTCGTTATGGTCTCAACTCAACTACAGTAAGGGAGGGAGTGCCGCCAAGATTGGACCTGGACTGGAAATGTGAGTATATCTCCTTGGAGGCCCTGTGTGCAGTAAGGTTACAGTACACCTGCGTACACCCACCATCCAGTGAATACTGTATAGTATACAGTACCCTTGGTACCAAGGGTACAGTATTATGGTCCATAATACTGTAATAACACACTGCTGTATGTGGACTATCCATAAATTATGGATTGGATTCCATACTCGTTATAACGGTGAGACAAGTCGACGTGTTACGCACTCATGGCGTGCACGGGCGGTACAGCAGAACGGGACATCGTCCCCGACCCATCGTCAGGGCCAACTCGGGCGCGTTTGCCGCTGGGGTTGGTCAATTCAGGTGAACAGTCCATCTGTGCACCGCGAGAGGGCAGGCAATGGCCGGGTGTACCTTCATCGAGCTCCTCCTGCTTTGTACGTTCTCCCTTAAGTGATCGAGTTCATTCGGCACAGACAGACATACTGTACGGCGCGCAGGCCGGAGTGAGTGGAGCGTGAGTGGGCATGAGGATAGGGCCTTGCTTGAACATGCCTACCTGACTTTCTGCCTGACTTTTCTGCCTGACTTTCTGCCAGACTTTCTGCCTACCTTTTATCTACCAAAGGGTATCTACAGCATACTGTGCTACAGAGTGTCGCAATGGCGAGAAGGACCTCAAGTAAATGTACAGATATGCCTACCCTTTAAGACACACACCTCTGCGCAGCTACTGTACCAAGGGTATCTACGGCATACCAAGGGTATTGTACTACGGAGTGCCGCAGAGGCGAGAAGGACCTCAAGTAATAAATGTACATGTCAAATGAGGCGGACAATACTATGCAGTTGTGTCCACACCTTGTTGTGAGTAGCCCTCTAGGTGTGTACAGCAGCAAATGCGGATGGTGCAATTCAAACATGCGACACACTGTAATGGCTTGTAAAACACTGTAGTATCCTCCGGCCACCGCCATGGCACGCGTCGACACGTGGGCAGCATTTTGCAACACCAACAAGCTCTTTCACCACACGCCTGGGTCCTCACGTAACAGGCTTGGCAGGGTATCCAAAGCGCGGGTCTTGATTGCTCGGGCGCGCGCGTCGCCGGCAACGCCGGACACCCGTTGACGGCACAACAGCTGTGCCTGGCGGTCGGCGGAGCGGCTCGCTGGGCGGCAATCATGCCTGCGCTCCCTTTTGCGACTTGCAAGGTGTCAAGACGGCGCGTTTGTGTGGTTGGAGCCCGCCGCACGGGTGCGGGCGCCGCGCTGTCGGAAGATGCGCACTGTAAAGTCGTTCTCCAGCGGGCACTCACCGCACGATGCGCCTCCCTCATATCGTGCCATTCCCCAGCCAGCAACGCGCCACGAGAATTCCTCCTTGTCCACCATTGCGCCACTTCCCCGCCCCGGTGTGGCCAACCCTCCCCATTAAATGCCCAACCTCGCGCACAACCCCCTTACTATTGCGTAAATCACATCGCCCCCGTCCCGTGAGAGCACTATGTAATCGACTGTCTCCACTTCCCTGGCCCCCCTTCGTCCGTTAGACGCCACATTCCCCCCCCCCCCCCCCCCCCCCCCCACTACCCCCGCTTCACTCCGCGCACACCTTCCTACGAACCGCTGCTGCAGTATCCGGTACACTATCCCTATCTTCGACCACGTCGCAGCCCACTCCCCAACATGGAGCAGCCCCCCACAATGCCTGTCTCCGTGTGGGATCCCTCCAAGCAGCCTGGACACTCCTCGCTGAAAAACACCCCGGACGCTACACCAGACTCCTCTTTGCGTGGCGGCCGTGTTTACATTTCCGCGAAGAAACCCTCGACCAACTTGGCTGCTGTGCCCGAGTCCAAGGGCATCGCGTGGACAGAGTTTTCGGCAGCCCTCAGTAAGGTTGCGGCTGCGAACCGGGACATCCTGCCGAAGGATCATCTCGCCACCGAAGTCGATGACCGCGACAAGAATTCTCCAGACAACTGGATTCCCAGACATCCGGACCTCGTCCGTCTTACGGGTAAACATCCTTTCAATTGCGAGCCCCCGATCGGTAAACTCCTCAAACAGGGCTTCATCACCCCTGTCTCTCTACACTATGTCCGCAACCATGGTAAGTGTCCCCAGATGTCATGGGATGCCCACCGCCTCACTGTCAAGGGTCTTGTCAAAAAGGAGCTTGTGCTCAACATGGACGACATCCTCGCCATGCCCTCCATTACCCTACCGGTCACCCTTGTTTGCGCTGGAAATCGCCGCAAGGAAGAAAATATGATAAAACAGACCATCGGTTTTAGTTGGGGTTGCGCCGCACATGCTTGCAATATATGGAAGGGCGTCAAGCTTTCTACTTTGCTCGAGAAAGCTGGTATCGATCGGGAGAATGCAAGGCATGTATGCTTTGTCGGCCCCGAGAAGGAGGGGCTGCCTAATGGCACGTATGGCACATCCATTGACATTGCTACCGCTACAGATCCGTATGCCGATGTAATGATTGCCTATGAGCAGAACGGCAGCAGGTTAGCCCCCGACCACGGCTTCCCACTTCGCGTCGTCATTCCGGGTTGGATTGGTGGCAGAATGGTCAAGTGGCTGGAGACCATTGAAGTAACGGATAAGCCTTCTGAGAATTACTACCACTTCTTCGATAACAGGATCCTGCCACCGCATGTCGATGCCGAGCTTGCAAAGGCGGAGGGCTGGTGGTACAAACCCGAATATCTTTTCAACCAGCTGAACATCAATTCGGCAATTGTTCACCCAGCCAATGGCGAGACTCTCACTTTAACCGGCGCCGGTGTCTACACAATCAAAGGTTACGCCTATTCTGGCGGAGGACGCAAGATCACTCGCGTTGAAATCTCGCTTGATGGCGGTCTCACTTGGCGGCTGTGTAAGAACGACTATCCTGAGGAGCGACACAGCCATGCCCCCAAATTCGGGAAATACTATTGCTGGATGTTTTGGGAATACACCATTGATAAGTTCATGTTCCTCAACGCCGCCACGGGCTCGGGTGAACTAAGGTGCCGTGCGTGGGACGAGGGTAACAATACCCAGCCGAAGGATATCACATGGAATCTCATGGGCATGGGGAACAACTGTCACTTCACGGTGAAGGTCAAGCCGCGCCAGTCCTCCGGAGCGTTTGTCCTAGAGTTCCTGCACCCTACAGTGCCTGGACCGACGGCCGGTGGCTGGATGCCTCCCCCGAAGCCGGTGACTGCAGTACCCTCGGGCCCTGCCCCGGGTAAATCTCCTAGTGCCCCCGCTCTCTCTTCTATGGTGAAGACGTACACGAAGGAGGAAGTGCAGGAGCACAATTCGGAAGAATCGGCATGGATTATTGTTGATGGGAAGGTGTATGATGCCACTCCGTATTTAGATGACCATCCGGGAGGAGCGGCAGCCATTGTCATGAACGCTGGTGAGGATTCGACAGAGGAATTCATGGCGATTCATTCGTCTAAGGCAAAGAGCATGCTTGAGAAATATTACATTGGGGAACTGGCGGACGAAAGCCAACCTGCCGCTGCATCGGGCAAGAAGTCTATGCATTTGTCGAAGTCTTCGGCGCAGCTCATGAAGGATGACCTTCCAAATCAGTCTGTTCAAACGGTCGAGAAGGCTTCGCACTTGTGGGAAGATGACGACAAGGTTGCTTTGAACCCCAAGAAATGGACTGAATTTGAGCTGATCGAGAAGATTGAGGTTTCTCACGACACGAGACTATTCAAGTTTAAGTTGCAAACACCCGAACACAGGTTGGGCCTCCCTATCGGCTATCACATGTTCATTCAAGCGATTATTGATGGGAATATGGTCATGCGCGCATACACTCCTGTTTCTTCTGACGATGACTTGGGTCACTTCACCCTATGCATCAAGGTGTACTACGCCGGTGTGCACCCCCGGTTCCCGGATGGCGGAAAGATGTCACAATACATGGAGAAGATGGCGATTGGGGACATGCTGAAAGTGAAGGGGCCGTTGGGACACTTTGAGTACAAGGGCAGAGGAAACTTCACTGTCAAGGGCAAGGATAGGTATGCGTCGAAGATTGGCCTGATCTGTGGTGGTACAGGACTGACGCCGGCATATCAAGTGATTAAGGCAATCTACAAGGATCTAGAGGACGATACGGATGTGTATTTGTTGTACGCGAATCATTCTCTCAAAGACATTTTGATGCGTAAGGATCTGGAGAAGATGGCTGCGGAGAGGTCAAATATCCACTTGTGGTACACGGTGGATAAGCCCGAGGAGGGATGGGAGTACAGCAGTGGATTCGTCAACGAAGAGATGATTCGCGCACATCTTCCAGACCCGGGCGAGGAGTCATTTGTAGGCATGTGCGGACCGCCACCGATGATCAATTTTGCGTGCATACCCAACCTCAAAAAGATTGGCTTTTCAGAGGAGAACTACATGCAGTTTTAGAGCGAAGGGACGTTTCGGCTGTGCGTTACAAGCGGGATGCCCTGCGTGAATTGTGTGTCTGTACCGTACATGTAGACGGAGAATTTGTGTATAACCAGCAGTAATATTTGATAAAGATTCGCATGCACATTGGACTGCTCAAATGGCGTTTGTTTATCTGTATGAAAGAACGTGGTGTGGAAGCAGTGATAGGGAGTGGAATTGTTTCGCCACGTTGGGGACAGAGTCGCTCATTAGGACGTGGATGTTTCTCTATGGATAAGTCTAGGGGTGTGAACCGGTTTTGCTCTTTCAAAATGAGGGCGGTGATCGCGGTGTGGTTTGCGACCTGAGATAGTTAATACTGTAGTTAAATCTCAGAAGTAGAGTTCCAGTACTTCATGTATTAAGTCTCGCGCTTTGGGGCAGTGCTGAATGAAATAAGGCGAAATCAAGGTGTGTGGTACAGGGATGCTCTCGGCAGTGCATAGACAGGGCCACGGGCCCGTAGTGGATATAATCTCTTGGCGGGGCATGCTGGGCGTATGACTCCTACAGGCTCTCTCCCTCTTGCCACGCTATTAACTGTATGATCCATCGATAATGGAGTAGCGCCTTCTGCCGCCGAGTCGACCACGTGCCCGCGGAGGTGGTACAGAACCCGGCCATCCCACGGGAGTACTATCGCTCCATCGCGGTGGTGATAGCACCCCTCTTCTACCAATTCGCTGACCGCAGCGGGGCGTAGCTGTAGCGTGCCGTGACTCGCACTCTTGCGCTGTGCCACCTGAACGTAGCAACCAGTGCGCTCTGTGCACAGTGTGGTGTCACCCGAGCCTGCGATAGCGTGGAAAAGTAGGCTTTGTCGAGCTTGGCACACTTTAGCTAGCTCACCTAGGGTCCATGTTTTCCTGAGCGGAGCAGCCTTCTGGATATCGAGCCGCAGCCCGCGCCGCGTGCTGGGGTCCGGGAACATGAAGTCCCCCCCCTTACGCGACACCTGATAGACGGATCCTTCCCCGTCCGCGCGCGCAGCATTGGCGGCCTCTGTGCCCTTGATTAACATGATCCCTGGTGAGGCGCCAGCCACTCTCTCCCTGATATCTGCATTGTCCAGCATCTCAGCTCTGATGAAGACGCACCTCACCCCGTTATCGTAGTCTAACCTCGGGAATAAGATGCGATGGGGCCCGGCTTCTGCTTCAAACAAGAGTAGTCTGTGACTGAACTCGTCTCCATAGTTGTATATCACAGCGTCACTCCGCCGAAAGGACGGGTATACCTCCCACGGTAGGCCGCCCCCACAGTTCATGTATTCCCTGTGGATCCACACCGAGTCTATTAATCCGGGCCCTTCATACTCGGCGTTAAGGCCCTTGTAGCTGCTCACCCACCAATGTGTGAGCATGTCTACTCTCACGAGGTCACCAACGCTCTCTAGGGTCGAGTCGTAGCAAGGTATGGGTTGGTCTATTATAACACAGCCCGCTCTGGCCTCTCCCCCCATGGGTAAAGCCGTGATGGTCGAAGCCCTTATAGCGCCGACTAATTCCGTCCACATGTTGCGACATTTCTGCCATTGCTGTGCATACCTCCTCGGACTGACACTCCACCAGTCTACTAGATGTATTTCGCTCACCTTGCATCCCCTCTCAGTAGCTATCATGGGTGCTGCGGCTTGGGACCTGTGGGCCATCGCACCGCGGTCCTTTGCATCTGGAACCATGTATGATATACTGTATCTGATAACTGTGCTTGGTATAGCCTGGGTCCGGGGCCTTCGGACACGTCCGAACACTCGCAATGCGCGCGGCACCTACAGCACACTGTGCACCTGGGATTAAGTCCACATGTTCTCGGTACGCCATGCACCAGGTATCGCTTGTAACAATGGTGCAAACAGTGGGCCCTGCAGCGTGAGCAGGTGTTGCAAGCACTCACTATCAAGCAGTTCAGGAAGTCGCACACGTTCATATCCCTGGCAGTCTGATCGCTGGCACTCGGCCAGTGGAGTGCACCTAAAGTTTGGATTTTAAGGCCTCCTGTGGTGTAGCCTGCCATCTTTGGGTGTCAGTTTCGCTGCTGTGCTCGTAAGTCCCCCTTAATTACTCAATCAAATTTCTAATTAATTATATGGGTTCAAAACCACGCCACAGACTCGTTGAGGCCGACCTCTTGCGACTCGCCTCCCAATTCGATCCGTGATTCTTCCTCTGCACTCGTTTACCACGGGCCAACGAGCGCCACAAATCGGTCCAAGCCAGAGCAAGTAGCACAGCGCCACCTCATGACCCCTTGGACGCACCCAATAAGCGTTGTCAGAGCCGAGATAAGGGGCCTGGCCGCGAAGACACGTGGGCGAATGAGATTTCACGGAGGTAATCATCCCTTGTGATTGCGCCACGGCACTCGGAGGTTGCATGCATACCGGGCCATGCCCTCTCGAAACGGTGGAGTCAGTGCGCGATCTCCTTTTGGATAAGGCCCCTTTCAGAGCCGTGGTGAAATGGAGAAACGCCTCTACCAACTTTCTCCGTTGTCGGTCAGTGCATGGAGGCGTCTGGAGTGGAGTGTGCGTTCAGCGAGTCACGAATTTCGTTGCTTTTCCAAGTTTCGTCCCAACCGCCTGCGGCACCCTCCCAACCAATGCGTTCACCGCACCTTCCGCCCGCACGATAGATGCTACGAAGCCGTCTTCTGACGTGCAGCCACACTCCCTTGCCGCAGTACACAAAGAACACTCACATGCCGCTAAAAGCGTACAGGAGAGACACCTGTCCAAGGCAAGGCTCCAACACCAACAGTCGAAAACGTGTTCGTAGTATGTTTTGTATGGTACAGCATCTCCCAATCCCTCCACGCCGAACGACCCCATGTATCCTGCCTTGCACTGTCGCCAGCCCTTACCCGACTACTGATAGATGCTGCAAAATAATAAATCTACCCCTCTCATCTTGTGGAACCTCTCCGACACACATCCTTATCCAGTCTTGATCGACACCATATAAAGACCATACTGCATCGCGTAACTTTCACCACACACTTCCTGTTTACCCTCCCCACTTCTTCTCGCGCTCCCCCCATCCCCCCCGCCCAGTCGTGCAAGCCGTGCTCGTCCTCACCCTCTCGCCGTGCGTATCTACGTCTCGGCCCTTCTCTTTCATAAACGAGCCGGCTTGCGTTCCCCTGTAAACTGATTCAGCCGCTGACCAGTCGCTCCCAACCCTATTCCCCTCAACTATAATACAAAATCCTCCCGTCACACTTCATTCGCTAACTTGCCAACATGTCTGCTATCCGTCGATCAGCCGTCGTCTTCCGTCGCCTTGCGTACTCTCGCCCGTACGCGTCCACCCCGGCTGCTGCAGCCCCGACGGCAACCAGCGATGAGAAAGTCCCACCCTCTGTTGAGCACGGTCTCGGCACTGTCCGAGATGTGCTCAAGACCAAGGGCGAGAAGTTTTTCTACACTCGTGGCGATGACCTCGTATACGATGCTGTCAAGAAGATGGTTCATCACAACATTGGCTCTCTCATCATCGTTGAGGGTGCAGATAAGCGTCCCGTTGGAATCATCACGGAGACAGATTATCTGAACAAGGTTATCGTCAGGGGTCGCTCATCCAGGAGCACTCTCGTCCGAGACATTATGAGTACCAAGCAGTTTACAAGCGTTGCCCCTAGTGCAACTTTGCATGAATGCATGGAACTCATGACGGAACGGAGGATTCGGCACATTCCAGTCGTCGACCATCAGTCTCACAAGGTTCTCGGCATGGTCTCTGTCGGAGATATTGTCAGTGAGCTTGTGGCTGCTCACAGGCGCAATGCCGAGCACATGCGCTCCTTCATCAGCGGTGGCTATTAACTTTCTCACCACAACGCCATCATTCTCCACATAATTGTTCTGCAGGTCGGCACCTCCCCGGTTCTGGTGCACGTGCTGCATCGCTTCGTAGTCACTGTATAATCTTGCTGGGAGCTCGCCAAAAATCGTTGCTATAGCTAACCTGCCTTCTGCATCTTCGCGTGCCTTGAAGAGCCTTGTCCATTGCGCTGTATCTGATACATAAAGCGGCTGACGGCTCTAAAAGGGGGCACTTGGGATATCGCTAGCTTCAGTAAAAACATTACTGCGATTTCTTTCTCATCGGCTAACGGCACGGCACCTTTTCATTGAGTCTTATGAGTAAAAACGGCTACGCGAGCTACTTAGTTCGCACACGACACAGGGACTTAGAAACAAAAGACTCGCAACGCAACAGAATTCAAATTCGGCCCAACGGATCATGGTTCATCAACGCAAGCGATAGCGCAGCAAGTTTTTCGCTTCTGAGTGACGACCCTTAAACTCATACTCGATGGCAATGTCCAGGTCTCTTGGGTTGTTTCGGTTCGGCCGGCAAGCCAAGGTGCCCTCGAGAACCTCCCCTTGCTCCATCGGCAGCGCCCTGTCTAGATACAGCACGGTTTGCTTCCAATGCGTTGGTTTCTTGTGCGGTCCAGTCACAAACGAAACTGGTTTCAAACAGTGCGAAAACTCGATATCAAAGTAGGCGACAAGTGCATGGGAATAGTCGTTTCGAATAGCTGTGAGCTTGAATGGCACGGCAAATGACAGTTCCTCGACTGTGATTGTGGCACAGTCGATTGGAAAGACTGCGCACACATTCGTCATGACTTGTTCAGGGTCGACAGTGTCTACGAGCGGCTCAGTGAGTGCGACGCTCTTGATGCAAGACATATTGAGTCCATACACGTTATCCCAAAAATCGATCTTTTCGGCCTTGTACTGAGCATCCTCGATAGAGCATAGATACAAAGTTGCTTTGTCTGGGAACATAAGACCGCCCGGCTTGAGCCATTTATCTCTTGCAAATAGAACAGTGTCCAGCATGGACTCGTAAAACAGAAAGTAACCCATCCATTCAGAAATGATAATATCAACTTTCTCCGGCAACTCCATTTCTTCGACTTTGGTCTCCTTGACTTCAATGACGTCGGAGAAGCCGTTGTCGGCAATAATTTGTCTTGCTTGGTCGACAATCTTCGAGCACTCAACGGCATATACTTTCTTCGCACCTGCCTTTGCCGCAAAGATGGACAAGACACCGGTGCCGCAACCGACATCCATAACGACTTTGCCTTCGAACAGGTGGCGGTTTTGAACAATGGCGCGCATGTAAGACAAGGTGCGAATATCATCTTTGAGCATTTCTTCGTGGATTCCAAAATGGGCGTACGAATTGAAGTAATAGTCGGAGGAGGTCATGTCGAAGTCGGCGTCGCCAATGACGCTGGGGTTAGCACCATCGGGAAGCAGACGTCGTAGGGCGGTTTTTTGGGACTCGCGGTTGTCGAGAGCGAGATCAGCCATGGCGGCAGAGGCTGTTGGGGCGGGTGTGGGCTCTGAAGACGACGCTGCTGGGGCCATTAGCTCGTGGTGGGGGAGGAAATAAATGAAAGGAGAGTGCAAACCGAAGACGGGTGAAGGTCTTGAGGGTGCTTTCTGCTAAACAAGAAAACAGAGAAAAACGAGGGTGGTAGACAGAGCGCGGCAAGACAATTGGGGAAATGGTGGGTAAGAGTGAGTTGAGTGTTGTTGCGTCACAGGGCCGGCGGGGGAATTCGAGGGGGCATACAACGTCGGGGAGGGATCTATTGGTGACGACAGTGTGCTGTTTTGCGATTGGCAAACTAAGGAGCGCCCGACGTCCGTGACGGTCCGTCGTCAACCAATCGAAATTGAACAAAGATTTAGCCAGCATGCCCAGCGTTATGAGGCGCGTTAAGCTGTGTTTTGTGTGCATGGGAACAATATCAACAGTACAGTACACTGTAGCTCGAATTACAGATGGTGAGCACAATTCGTACACGTGGGTACCACTCTGACCGATTGTACAATTTTGGTGTACACGTGGAAGGCCGTTGAAACGTGTAACTGTAAGCTCTGTTCCGAGACCCGCTCGGACCATACTGCAGAAACCGTTGATGTGCCACCGCAGCAGGTGCCCCATCTGGACCAGCATGACACTCACAGAGAGTGTGGTCGCCGGAGTAACCGCATTGGTCTGACATCTTTCCATCCGCGATGCCCGGCTTGTCCGTTGCATTGCATCTTGCCCATTTTTTTCTCCTTCAAAGAGGTTAACCTCGTACACGTCTTCGACCTACATCCACCCTCCTTCGGACGTCCTATTCCCATCCCATCCCTATCCATTCTTCCGTGTCACAATGTTCCGGTCCCTCTTTATTCTCGCTCTCTTCCGTCTTTCGCTTGCTGCCCCTTTCCTCCTGGGATACTCGTCAACACAGCACTTTGCAAGCGCTGGCATTCAACATCCGGAGCAGTCCACCACTGCATCGCTCTCACACCTCCTCGGCCGCTTTAATTCTGATTCCACCTCTTCCGCACAACTTCCCCTTCACCCCGATTTCGCATCGCAACCCCGTCCGTCTCTCCTTCTCGTCGTCCGCGCAGAGGTGTCATCACCGCGCAAAACCCTCACAGCACTTGCTGGCGCCCTCGGCGGCGACCGACCCACGTCATTTATCGCACGCACCGGCGCCTTTGATGACGCCGAAAATGCAGTCACTGTAAATCAGGTCGCCGACCTCAAGGTCTCGGAGAAGAACGCAGTCGTCAATGTTCAACTGAAGGAAGGCGAATCTGCGCAACTCATCGGCGCCATCAAGTCGCTTGCTAGCAGGCATAGTTACATGGCTGTTGTGTGGGCCTCTCGCCAAGATGCTGGCGCAGCTGATGCGGCTCCGGCTGATCAACCCGCGGCTGGTGCAGACCCCGCCAAACCAGACGCTGTCAATGGGAATACCGCCGATTCGGCTTCGGGGGCTGACGCCACCAAAGCACACGTGATGAACCCACCAGAGATTAGCTCCGCTGGCCTATCCGGCTTGCTTGTCGCCTTGATCTTCTTGCTCATCTTTGTCCCTGGCTTCCTTTGCCTTACCAGAATCGCCTCACCGGAGACCTTTGACGTCATGGATAGCAACGACATGAAGAAGAAGATGCAATAAGTGACTATTATCGTATGTATACACGCTCACTGACTGAATAAGCGTTCGATATCGTAGTGTCAAAGCTTTTCAAGGACATTATGCACTCTGCGATCTTGTACACACTACGGTCGAACGCCTTCAATTTCGTATCTACTGCGTCTCGGCAGAGGGAATACCTTCGTTACAACTGTAAAGCAAATACACAAATCAGTATGTTTAGCTCACACTACGACTCTCCGTGTTTCAGGACGGCTTCACTAACCTGTTCTAAAGCGTCGCGTTTGTCTAGATACGAGTCATCCACTCCATCTGCTGTTAGTATTTGTAATACGCGCTCAGATAAACTCCCCAATCTTCCCAGAATCTTTCCTGCCCGGAGCATGTCATCGTATATATTCCCCAGTATACAAAAAGTCTGGGCATCCTGCACTTCAATGGGAGGGGTTGCATCTTCCAAGTGTACCCGTCGACGTTTTCCCGCTCCGTTCGGGAATGCTGATGCAAAAGAGGGCAGCTGATCCGGAGATACGATGGATTCAAGATCCATGCACTCCTGTGGGTGGATATCGTCATCCTTTGCCGCTGCAACAAAATTGTCGAACATTTGTTCAATTGCTACAATAGTTGTCCGTTTGTTTTTCATGAATCCGTGAATTACGCCGGCAAGCTCATCCAGCATGATCTTCGTTACATCAACAGATGAGTTGATATCTGACGTTCTCTTATATACAGCTGAAATGATGCGATATATCGCGTGAAGCACCCGGGTTGTCCTCACTTCTCGCCTTCTCACCACTAGAACGATCGAAGACAACGCCTCCCTCAACGAGGTTTCCCCGAATTGAAAGGAAGATAAAATACCGTCGCTATCGCTCCTCTCTATTGCTGGTGCTATGTCGGCGGGTGGGGACAAGTGGAAACCTGGGCTACTGTCCGTACTGGAGAATCGGGAGTCGAAAAGTCCACTTGGTGGGGTCTTCATCCCATCAAAGGAAGGGTTGCTTGGCAGCGTCGGAGTAGAAGGCCGTGAACCCGTTGGAGTCAGAGGGGCCTCAAAATCAGATAAAGTCATGAGCAGAGGTTCCGATCCACGACGCTGTAGATCATCCTCATCCGGAATGCCAATGTTAATAAAGCTCTTGAATGGGCTGTCTGCAAAGAATTCGTCGATTTCATCGATATCTTCGAGAAATAAATCGTACTTCAAACTTCCCAATAATTGCTTCGACGCAGCCTCACAACTAATGAATGCCTCAATCGCACAAAGGGAGACAAATGTGACGCGCTCAGTTCCCTTGATATTTGTAGCCATACCCTTGAGACCATGTAGAACGTGACGATGTTCAAAATCAGACGTAGGTCTGCAAAGGTCTCGTACAAGAACACTACCAAGTGGTGAGGCCTTGCAGTGAGTCAGCATGCATGTCAACACCAAAGCTCTCGCCGCCGCATCGAAAAGTGGCAAAGCTGGTTTTGTATCTGTTTCTGCATCTGCCCTGGTTAGGCCCCACTGTTTTCGCAGTAGGTGCAAAGAAGCTGGAGATGCCTGAGACGCTATTGGTCTGAAAAACGGGCTGAACACCCGCTTGCTGATGAGGCTGACAACCAGAGGGTGAAGATACGATTGCGAAACGGTAGACACATCGCCAAGATACGCAGAGATGTTCTCAATTTCCTCGAGCTTGGCAGTAAGCTCAGATAATTTAACACGTCGTCGAAAAAGCCCAGTCCGACTTCTCGTCCTTCGCACTTCCCTCCCATCGTCCAGTAAAAACTCAAATGCCCTGCCAACGCTACCACACAGCCTAGCCAGCAGTTCCATGGTATTGGGGAAATACTGCGCTTCGTCTTTGGCTGCAAACCGTAAGACTTCCGAATCCCCAAGTGCATAAATAGTGAGTGTTACATTTCGCATCGCAATCCGGACCATCGCTTCTGGGTGATCAAAGAATTTGGTCACGGCGGTGTATAATGGAAATGAGCCCTTTCCAGGATCGAAGAAAAGCTGAACCAAACCTTCGTCGAGCTTCAGGGCAATGGATTTGACGGCAGAAATGAAGTAAGCTAACATCTCGTCATGTTCAAACGCAAATTCAAATGAAAGAATCTGGTTGATGTGGTTTGAAGAAAATAAGCACAGAAGAGATTCTTGCCGCGACACGCTCTGAATCACAATAGATAGTGTCTGCAATATCTGTGCCTGAACCTCAGTACCGTCGTTGGTCAATGCATAGTGCTCTTGATTGTCCACTTCTTCTGCAGCCTCACCAATTTTCCGCTCGGTGTGACTCGACTCGGCTTCCACGATTGAACTAGTAAATGATAGAGCTGAAGACTGCCGACCCGACATGCCAACAGAGGAATTTGTCAACCCTTCAGCAGATGTCCCGTTCGGTTGTGATCCCACCACAGCTGTACGATTATCGTTACCAGGGGCAATGGTGGAAAACTCCCTGTCTTCGTCGCTATCTTTTTCCTCGCCGTCCCCTTGTGATTCTAATGCTAGTTCGTTCGCGGTGACGATTGGATCCATCTCACTAGCCTGAGATTCTGCAAAAGCTGATTGAGGCTTCACACTGACCTGTAGACAGCGCACCAGCAGCGGCATCACAGAAAGCTCAAGGAACACATCCCACACATCTGGGTCGTGCTGATCTGCCCAGACCATGATCTCAGCCAGATCTTTCAGGGCCTCAACAACTTGCACAGTCAGGACGCTATCGGCGGTCTCATCAACATACGCTTGCACGACAGTTACGACTCCCCGCAGTCGTAGTGCAGCGTTAATAGCGGGACTCTCACTCGCTGTGGAAAGCGGAGAATCCGGAGGTCTGTCAAAAGCCGGGTTGGCAGGTGGTGAGTCGACATGCGGTTGGCGTTCGTCAGTGTCGGAATGTTGTGAAACTCGTGGAGACAGAGTTGGAGTGTTCTGCGCGGAGCCAGGCTCTATGGAGCGCGACAGAGCCGTTGCTCGTTCAAAGCTTTCTTTGTCCTCCTCAAAGGATGGCACAGGTTCTAACGAACCTGCATCAGCGGCGTCCGGTTGGGGAGGGCCATCGCCCGCGACGAAATTGAAGAAGCGCCGCATGCAGGGTGAGGCTCAAGTGACGCATATGACGAATGTGAGCCGTGGGGGTAAGGTGTATGAGGCACAGCATGCCTTCTCGGAGGAGGGAGCAGCAGAGGGAAAAGTCAAACCTCACCTGCGTCAGCGGAGAGTGAACACGGTAAGCATGATGCAACATATCGCGCTGCTACTGACATGGTGTCAGCTTTGAATGCTACGTACCACTTGGCGTGTATTGGTTGGCTTATATTTTCCACTGAAATTGGATTCAACCCATGCCTTAATACAGTATTTGATATCTATTTCCCGCCAAAACTGAGCATGAAGAACTACAGACTGCACCCGCGAAAGCTTCCTTCTACACAGAAGGCTATATGCAAGTTACATCCCTCTCTTTTGTCATTCCCAATCTTGTTACTCCTCCGTATCTCCGACATTCGTCGAAGCGGTGTTCGAATCTAGCATTCTTTGCAACCATGCAGGTGGCTCGAGCGGCCGGCACACCATCTAAGTTGCCAGGCTCTTCTTCCATTCATTCATCACGTACTGCCGCTTCATATGCTCCGCTCTATCTCTCCAGTTCCCTTCGCCACATCGCCTTCGATATCGAAGAACTCGAAGGAATTGCCCTCGATCGCTTGAAGGTTCTTAAGGCAGCAGAAACGGCACGTTCGAATGCCAGTATAGGGCAGCGGTCTGCCGCCGCTGTAGATGCGATTCGAACCTCAATACGTGCGGCAGAGCGCGCAGCAGGTCTTAATATTCCTCCTCCAGGCAATCCTACTCGTGAAGATCGCGTGTTGAAAGATGAGGCCTCTCACTTTCTGCTTCGACTGGCCCTTTGTAAGACCCATGAACACAGAAACTGGTTGCTTTCAACAGAACATGATCTCTTCACCGCGAGACTGGAAGGGGCCGGGGCTGAGTTTGCGCTACAAGCAATTGAGAAGGCGGATGGGCCAACAGTTCGGTTGGCGTCGGCTAGCGACCTTGAGCGCTTTCGACAAGAGCTTGATGCAGTTGCACGGGGCCCCGGTAGAATGAAAGGTGATTCCGGGACAAACTACTACACGGTAGCATTCGAACAGGTTCCTGCTCTTATCAGATATAGGAGAGTGTTTCTGGACAAGGGCATGGCTTATGTACCAGAGCGGAACGTTCTGGATATTGTCTCCTCACAGTTTCGAAGCAAATTGAGTCATGCACTTGTTACAGCTTCGAAGGCAGTGGGACTGGCGGATGGTGATCAGAGAATGAGACCAATTCTGGAGTCCATCAGGCAGCACTATGCCATGGAGGAGCAGGTAAAGGGCTTTGATCCTGCAGCGAGCATTGAAAGAATTAATCTCACCCAGTTGAACGAGTCTCTTCCCGCCATGCCACTGTGTATGGTCAATATGATGACCAGGTTGAGGGAACAGCACCATCTCAGATATGCAGGCAGATTGCAACTGGGTGTATTCCTGAAAGGATGTGGGCTTAACATGGATGAGTCGCTTAGGTTTTGGCGGACAGAATTTGGGAAAGGTGCTATCAATTCAGACAAGTTTGAAAAGAGTTACGCTTACAACATTCGTCATCACTATGGGAGAGAAGGAAAGCGACGCAATCTGGCGCCTTTTCCCTGCATGCGAATAATTAACGATCGCCCGGGGCCCGGTGAGCACAATGGGTGTCCCTACCGAGAGTTTGAAGAGACGCGCCTAAAGCAAGCACTGCGCAGCATTGGAACAGACCCTAACGCTATCCCCGTCATTGCAGCCAAGGCGAAAGAGGGCAATTTTCAGACAGCCTGTGGCATATGTTTCGCGTCCTCACAGCCTGGAATCCATGCTGTTACAGAAACCGGCATGCCAGAGTATATACCAACGCATCCAAATGAATATTTCATCGAAGCTCGCAAACGGCGCTTTGCCCCGAACCCAGATGTCTCCATGCTAGATGCTGACATTGATGAGGAGGAAATGTTGATGGCCGCAGCTGCGGTAGAAAGCCAAAATTCCGACGCGACACCCAAGAAAAGTGGCTCTGACGTCGACAGAGACAATGAAGTGGTCAATCCAAGAACTCCGTTGGAGAAAAAGGATGTCAATTGTGGTAACAATGGGTTGAATGCTTCACCTGGGGTATGTGTACCCGACACACCGGTTCAGGCAACCGCCCATGAGTCGCCAGTAATACGGAAACGAAACGATGATGCCCCAGAACTTCAACAACCCGCTAAACCCGCCAATTTACAATCGAACAAGGATATAGAACAAGAAAACCAACCTTCAACAGAGTCAGGCAATATGACAGGAGCTGACCGAGCTACTGTTTCAACCAACAAGTACAGTAGAGGCAAGGACGGGAGTGCAGAAGATGCTCCTGCATCTCCTAAACGACAGAAAAAAGCTGTGAGTCCGTGATCGATGCAAGCCGGGAAAAGCCCATGCATCTATCAACGCAATGTTATAGCCTCGATACAAATGCCTGTCTTTACTGTTTAACGATTTGCTGGATATCCCCATTAAATCATGGTTGACTTGTCCAAACCTAATTATGAAATTAATCGCGTTCATCGTCGCTTGTAAGCAGTTTTTTGTTCCAGTCAATCTCAGTCTTGACAGACACAATCGTCTCAACAATCTCGACGATGGTCTCAGTATCGTCTTCAACTTTAGCGTAGCAGGCGATTGCTTTGGCCCTCTTCTCTGCCTCTCCTTCTTGGATACGTCGTGCAGACTCCCGGAACGCGCTGAACATATCTCGTTGTTCCTTGCGTCGGGCAGCTTTGCCGCTGCTAACGGAATCTTTGAGGTCTTTGTCTTCCCTTTCATACCGCTCTCTCCGAGTCTTCAATGTCTTCTTGACTTCTCGTTCTTGCTTCGCCGATAAAAGTGGCGGCGGCCTAGGTCTCCACGAAAACTGGTAGAGCTGATCAACATTCACGCGGCACAACTCCTTGCCATAAAGGGTCCATATAACGTACGCGTTGTCGCTGCTGCTTCTCCAGCAGGTGACGGATGATGTTACGAAACGACCAGAGGGATCCCACTGGATATCATTGCAAGAGAAATGCTCGTTGGCACCTACCGGCTCTGGATTCTCCTTGCCCTGGGCGTCGTTCACATCATACCACTCAAGGTTTCCATTTTGGGTGCAGACTGCAGCAAGCAGGATAAACCGACCTTTCGGAGACCAATGCAATTGATTTGCTGTCTTCTTCTCTAAAGTAAACAGCTCCTTAAGCTCGCCGCTCAAGCCTTCCATAGTAAAGAAACTGACATCCGTCTTCCCTGGGACATCACTGTATGCATGAATCACTGCAAAGCGACTGCCATTCGGTTCCCATGCGAATGCGTTGATAATGTCCTTCTCTTTGTATTCGAGGACCTCCACAGGGATATCCTTCGCCTTGACACGAAATAGCTCGAAGTTCGTAAACTGACCTTTCCGGCTCTTAGTTAATCTGTCGACCTTGCAACATAAAAACTTTCCTTCTTGTTGCCAGTGCAAAACAATCGTGGAGACTGAGAAAAGAGCCTTTTGACGAATTTCTTTCTTTGATGGCAATTCGATAAGAGACACTCTAGCCGGGGAGTCGTTAACTTCTGGAGTCCAATACGCCATAATGTTATCCTTTGGCGACCACGCGAAACCCCTGACATGAGGAATCTTGATGGATTTCTTATCCACCAAACCCATGTCGGGAGTTTGGTACACGGAGATAGCATTTTCATTCAGACGAGCGAAGTATTTGTCATCGTGCGACCAGTTGAAGATTGGCCACGGAATGCTTCCGTCTGAATCTAAAATCGATCGTGGAGGCCCCATGAAGCCACGCTTTCTTCTCCCAGTGAGAATATCCCATACAACCAGGGCCCTGGGGTTGCGCTTGTCATCCCGCTCGGGCTCCGTTCCGTTGAAAGTAACGAGATAGTTCTCGCACGGTGAAAAATCGAGCATCGTCACGCTCACATGCTCAAAGCGCATGATGAGACCGTATTCTACCTCGGCGTCCTTCTGTACAGGGAGACGGCCCCACAGCTTGATACCACGTGAATGGAATGTGGCAACGTAGGTCCCACGAGGGGACCAAATGGCAGCGGCTTCAGTCCACTTAAGGCGAGCGAAGTCCTGTCAAACGCAAAGACACCATACCACAGATAATCACATAGGAGTGCGATTGGCGTAAGCAGAAACGGGTTAGTACATCAACGAAGCAACAGCGGAGTGACCGGCTCTTAAAGTACGCAGGTCGAGTCAAGTCTAAGAATATTGTAGCTCAGAAACAGCCTCTAATGTTTTCCACAAATCCTGGATGTAGGTATGCAGTACCTACTATATATCCAGGCTTCGGGAAAAAATGAAGAAATCATCAAGGCCATAGGCAAGATTGCGAACTTGCGTGCAAAAAAAGAAAATGGGACAAAGACTTACAAGCTGAGGTTTGACGACATGATCATGCCAATATATACTGGTCTCATCCTGATGGCGGATCATGAACTGGTCCCTGCCGCGCTCATCTAAGAGATAGCTCTTGAAATTGGGGCGGTCTCTATCCGCAACTGGGAGCGCCTGGGGTGGAACAAACTCGTCGGGCATTTGCTGCAAGCGCTCGAAGTCGCCCGCCGTGCATGCCCAGAACCGATGTGCACGATCCAGCTGAAAATTATGCAACAAAGCTATAGCTTTGTGAGCCTCTTCAGGGCTGATGTATTCCGCAATTGCATATCCAAGGGAAGAACCATTTTCCCCCTGGACAAACTCCAAAAAGGGTTTATCGCCGCCATCACGGCGCAGTCGACCGGCTGCTTCGAAACGCGGAGTTAGCTTCGAAACAAGACGTGGGTACTTCTCGGCTCCGATCTTTGGAACATTGTCGACAACGACGACGCAGTCCTTTGCGACCCGTTGCATCTCTTCGCGCTTACGGTTGAAGTCATCTTGAAGAGCCTGGTCAAGGCCCTCGAGGGGTTGTTCCGTTGCCAGAGCAGGCATCTCGATCTGGACGAAATGACGACTTCTTACTTAGATCGTCAAGCTCGCGAATCTGTGAAAGTTTTGAGGTCTGCTCCTGGGTGAAACAATAGACCCGGTCAAAGGAGGAATGATGTCCATGCTGGGATCGATCCGGGACAACGTCGCCGGTGTCTTCATTACACAAGACAGCTTACTGTAAAGCAGGGCACTGCAGTTTTGCACAGACGATGTACAGTAGCCTACTTTTGTTACACGTGTAATAAATCCTATCATACCTTGTGCACCATTGGTGCAGTGCTGCTGTTCGTTGTTTATTATTCCCGGGGACACCATCTCACCGTTACTCGTAGTCGCCCTGAGGAGGCTCAAGCATCCCTCTGACGACTCTTATCCCCACTGACGGGGTGCAGCTGACCTTCTCATTTCCTTTGACTCGCATTGCGTTGATTCACTTCATCCCCCGTGCTATAATATTCCATTTTCGTCGCGCTGCCCCACAGATCCCCGCCACCAGCAGCCGCAATGTCTCACCAAACTGGGAGGGACATCGTTTCTCAAGCTGAGTTGGAGGATCTTGTTGCTGCGCGAGCGAGTCGCGACCCGGTTCCGATCCTTAAGCACAAAGCGGACGCTGTCGTGATGCGTCGCCTTAAGGACGTTGCTTTGCGAGGATGCGAGGGCCATGTTCGTACGCTTGCAGAATGTTCAGAAGGTCGCCTGTTGTCTGTTGTCTGGCATTGTCGTGCTTTCAGCAAGGCAGTCGATCAGTGCATGCGCGAATATGGAGCTGATGAACATCTGAAAGATGAACTCCGCAGACGGTACGTTACTTGAATTGCAGACGCCGGTATGAATGTTCGTCATTCGAGCATCATGTTCTTACGTGCTGACATGATCCCATCTACGCTCGTGTCAACCTGCAGCCACGGCGCAAAGTATCCCCGAGCCGTCAAAGGTTATCGCGAATCTTCAAATATAATAGAAGAAAAGACGGAAGCGACTACATAGAAAGGGAACGTGCATCCGTTCTGCAAGCATAACTCTGCGGCCTTGAAAACCAAAGGAGCATCTAAGTTACAAGGTTTCGCTCGCAGCGTGTCTAGATGTGCAGAGAACGATGGCTACCGAGGTGACGCAGATGTGAGGTCGCAGCGCTATGGGGTGAAAATTATAGAATCGCGATGGGGAACTGGATATTCTCGAGGACACTTGTACATTTTGCCAATGTAGAAGTGTCGGGCATGAAGGTCATGATTTCCCCAGCCTATAGCAAGTGCGAGTATTGTACTAAATCTGATTTAGGATTTTAGAATTTTAGAAACGATACAGTTGCGTTTGCAACGCTAACCTAACACACACCAGCCCACTGATCTTGGGTGTCGCAGCAGTCCGCGGAATCCGCTCCCCTCGACGGCCAATGTCATCCAATTACCACACACCGAAATGTTGCGAGGGGATTGCCTGATCCACATTTGGTTTGGAACAAACGCTTTCTCGTAGGGTGAAGAAACCTCATGAGTTTTTCATTATGACCCATTGCTCATGAGCGAACCGAAGTTGTATCAAAAGCCCAGGAAAAGTTCACAAGAAATGCTTGTCCGAATAGATATTATAGAGCAAACAGTATGGGCGACGAAGTATGAAAACAGAATTCAAGATAGGGTAACTCGCCCTGCCACATTAAAGACAATCCAAAAAGTGGTTGTGCGAGCAACTAATGAAGTTGTTTTACACTTGTTTTGACTTGAGGACCGAAGTAAGCCGAGTGGACACGTTTAAGATGACAGCCAGCGGGAACAGGCAAAAAGGTGAAAACAGAAGGTAAATAGCAAGACGCCATTGTGGAAGGATAAAATCATACGAATATATCATATAGAGCAAAGTCTTTGTGCAGACAGACGTGGCTCGGCAAATGGCCAGGACAGCGAAAGAAGCTTGAGTTTTTTGGGTATTGAATGATATTGTGAGATAGAGGCAGAGTAGAATGTCAATGCCACCAAGGAAATACGTGAATTTCAAAAACTTGTCACTTTCGTCAAGGAACAGTGTGTCGATTTTGGCGTAGACATTGAAGATCTTGCACAGCCATCCTAGATCCCCGTCTTCGAAAGTTCTTGGTCGCAGGACAACGTAAAGCCAGTCAGGAATGAGGACGAATAAGTTCACAATGTACCACAATCGAATCCATTCTCCGAAGAGAGATGTAGCCATAATTCAGGTTGTTTTGGCTTGTTCTTTTACCTTGTGGCAGTTGCTCTTATTTGAACCTTCGACGCTAAGTTGCGAGATGATTTGCCAAACGACAGGGGAGTTAATCATGAAAAGGAAGGACCTGTCTAGGCCTCCGAACGCGGAATTTTGGTACAGTGACTCTCTGTGATATTAGAGCATGTGCGCAAACGTAAAATTTTACGTTTTTGAATTACAGTAGTTGGCCGCTCTCACGAAACGTAAAATTTCACGTTTGAGAAACGTCACAAAATGAAACTGTTTTACGTTCCGTTCATTTTGCGACGTTTTTTTCACACTTGGACTTGTCAAATTTCCACGTTTGAGAGCGTGGACGACCTGCAACATCATCGATCCCCGGGCTCCACCGCGGACATGGCCCCTAGGAAGGCGTCGCGGCGCTGCCGCAGCGCCCAAGAGCGGCCTCGCCCGCCGCACGCGCAACCAAGCCCGCACCGAGGGTCGCACCCCTGCCGTCCTGGCTAAACCCCGTGTGCGAGCGCGAGAACCCGCGACATCGAACCGTCCTTCTCCACCCCCCGCAGCCGCACCGACCGCACGTGCCGAGGCCCACGACCTTGCGCCTCGCACACCAACTAGGCCTGGCGCCGCCGCCGGGCCCCGCTCGCGTGCGGATGTCCCGGCAGAGGTACTCACGCCGGGGAAGACACAGACCACTTTCGGCGCGTGTGTTTTTGGAACAGAGTGTCGTACTGCGGGTGCAAGCCTGCAGCGCACTTCGCACTACGGCGGCTGGTGCCGCTCGCCAATGCACGGGCAGTGCAGCCCGCTATTCGCTGCCTCACAGACTGTTGAGGCGCTCAGCGGGGTTTTTGTGTGCACCGTCGACTGCGCGCGGCAGCGGATTGCAGAGCTGTCGGACAGCCCGATTATAGATGAGAGGGAGAAGGCCGCTGGCCTTACCGAGGGCGTTAAGCTATACTTTCAGCAAGAGGCCGAGCGCCTGCTTAGGCCCACGAAAGAGACGCTCCACTTCAAGCCATGGTCTGCTTAGGCCGCGGGGGACGGTGGCTTGGACACCGATGATGATGACGACGACAACGACGGCGACGATGACGGCGACGATGACAGTGACGATGAAGACGACGATGACGACGACGACGACAACAACAACATCAACAGCAACAGCAACAAAACAGATAAGGGTGAGGAGAGTGGCAGCGCGGCTGATGGTGTGGGCGCAGTGGCGCGAAGACGAAAGAGGCCGACATGGCAATCTGCAAGCGGCGCGGTCTCGATCCGCAAGGTGCCGGGGCTGGAGCTGTACATCTCCGAGGTGTGCGTTGAGGAAGAGGTTGGGCGAGCAGCACATGGGGCCAAAGGCCCCACCTGGGGCAATGTTCTCGCCCGTGTTCAGAGCAGGTTCTTGCACGTCCCTCTCAGCATTGCGAAGCTGAAGGGCGCGTATAAGAAACTCAAGACCGACCGGTACTCTGAGCTCAAGAGAAAGTACGTCACGCCAACCGGAGCAGGCGGAATGCCTGATGCAAGCGACAGAGTGTTGAGGAGCATTCAGACCCTTATCGACATTGAGGCCGAGGCCCTCAATAGGACCTCGGAGAAAAAGGAATAGCGAACCCGCAAGGCGGAGGCAACAAGGCGAACAATGCTTGCGGCAGTGAGAACTTCTCGAGGGCTCTTCCCCGAAAGCAAGGAGGTGACTGGGGATGAGGGTGACACGGCCGACGACCGGGGCAGCGATCCCAACCCTGACTGCGGCGTGCCCGAGGCGCTTGCAGGGCAGGATGGCGATGGCGATGCCATTACGCTGGCGCCGTCGACCCACAAGCGTCCCAGCGGCAGCGCTGGCGGCCCCAGGCCAAAGAAGCGAAGGGCGACGGCGTCAGACTCGAGAGAGCTGCTTCTGAAAGAGATGTCGAGCATGCGGGGGGCGGCTAGGGGCCTGTACGACCGTCGTGACGCCGATACAGACAGGAGTGAGAGCGTCATGTCGAGGGTAGCTGCAGCAGCGGAGGCCACCGCAGGCGCCAGCAGCGCAGGCGACGGCAGGGTGATCGACATGCTGCAGACCTTCGCGTCTGGGGTTAATAATGGAGGCTCTGGTTCTGACGCGCGCCTGGCCACGCTAGAAGGTGCAGTCACGGGGCTGGGGAGCAAGGTTGAGGGCATGGCGTCCTCCATAGAGCAAATTCTTAGCCATCTCACCAAAAAGTGACACGCCTGCGGCTTCGATTAATGTGGTCGCCCGCATGCGCCGTCTACTAGTCGTCACTCATAAACAAGGCAGCTTTTACATGTTGCAAGACAGCGCACTGCAAGTCAAAGGCCTCCATCTCCTCCAGGTCGTGCTGCCTCGCACTTGGCGACGTACTCAACAGACTCTTCGTACAATTGTATCATTATGCCCCCGGCAAGGCATGCCCCTTCTGCATCCTTGTACTCGTCCAGCCGCAGCTCATGCAAGTCGTCGCATAAATGCTCTTCGATGTGAGGCGGCTCGCAGGTGAAGTACTGCGATGCTTGCGTCGGCTCGAGGCACGCTATGGCGTTCCATAATACTACAATTGACAACACGTGCATGGCAACTGGCCGCTGCCCGACAACGAAGTTCTGGTTGTATTTGAGCCACGGAAACTTGGCCTCAACACCCCCAAACCCCCATTCGGCAGTGATACGGAGGCTATTCATCAGCTCATTGAAGGCCCGCTTCTCAAGCGACGTAGGATTGCGATGCCCGCGGCAACAAACAGCGCTGCGAGCGTACGCTGCGTCATTATACACGTTGTGATCCGGGAGAAACGCCGTCATGCATTCGATGAGCGTTGACTGGGTGACAATGCTTCCGTCGGCATGGCACCTGCCAAACGGCCCTTGATAGTCGAGAATGAGCCCATCAGGGCAATTCACAGCCTGATACGCGAGGTTGTGCCCGTATTTTGCGTTGTAAAGCGCGTTCTGCATTGAATTCTCACCCGGGCGCGCTGTGCGCAGCCTCGACCCGTCCAAAAAGCTGACGCAGCTGTCAAAAGGGCAGTCAAATTCCCGAACGGCCCTCACGATTCTCCTTAGGCGGGTTGAGCCAAGGATGCGCTGCGGGATGCGCACGCTAGCCCACCACTTCGACACGATGATGCAGCTCATCGCTTTCACGATGCGGGACACTGCCGTGCGATCTCGGCCGCGATACAACGCGACCGTGGAGTCACGGCAGTTTTCGCCGAAGTATCTTAGATATATCAACAGCGCTTCTATACTGCATACCGCCAATCGGTTTACGCAGTATAGCAACTCCGGTAGGCGGAGGGCGTCATGCAGTCGCTTGAAATTAATTCGGTCAATTCGGAAGCTCACCTTGGACTCGTGGGCGGTCATTTCGGAGCTGAGGGCGTACGTATGCAGCCGCGGCCGCCTGTGCGCCCCACCAAACACGCTACTTCCCCCTTGGAGCCGCAGCACCACCCTGCATCTCGAGTACAGAGCGAGCATGACTATGGCCAGCTCCGATTCCTCCTTCGCCAGTCTCTCCTGGCTTTCAACAGCGGCCGCAGCGGCTGCAGCCAAGGCCAAACCCTGCACGCGCCTCCTATGCTGGGCCCTACGCCTCAACCACACCGCAGTAATGATGACTAGCGTCGCAAAGATGACAAGATACGAAGTTAGTGCCACAAGGCCCCATCGTCGACACACGCCGCGCTTTCGCAAACGCACCGACGCCTAAAAGCCTCCGCTGCTGATGCTCGGGAAGCGCCATATCAACCGCTGAAGGTGGCGGACCGCCGAGCCACAGCACTAGTAGGGGGACACACTCGTCACGCGCGCAGTGTTCGTCGTTGATAACGTTAGATGGCAGAGGCCAAGAAGTTGCAGTTCCTGGGTGAAGGCCAGGGGAACGTAAGAAGACGTAGATTTTCACGTTTTTGCAGCTTGCGCACAAGCTCCGCAAATTTTTACGTTTTCTTCTGTAAGTTTTTTTGCCGTCAGGAGCAAACGCAAAAATTTTACGTTTCTTGCGCACATGCTCTATTGTAGAGATGCCCTATTGATCCCAGAGCTACTTGGGACGTACGGCCGTTTCCTTATCACGGTGCACGAAACAAGAGGCGACCGCGTCTCTACTTTAGCGCCGACGGACAGACGTCCGCTGCCCGAGACGACCTTTCGGTTGCAATTAGAGTTGAACGGGCGTCCGCCGCTGACGCCCGTTCGCATGCACCGCGCCGATGCACGAGACAGAGTCTGCCGCTGGAAGGCGGTGGAGAAAGGACCGGCGACGAGGGATATAAAAAAAGGCAGCGCCCTCCCGGGAATCAGCCCGGAGAGGGCGAACTCGCCACTACTCTTGTTTTTCTGGTTAGCGTACCAAACGCTAACCTAGCCCTATGCTGCATAGGTGATGAAAATTGCGTCACTTTGAAGAAGTGATTTTGCGTGAACTTTGGGTACAATTAGTGACGTTTTTGAGAGATCGTTCACTGAAAATGTAGTGATTGGTCACTCTCTGTAGTGAATCATCACTGCAATGTAGTGAACAGCACAAAAATGTTGGCAAACTGAGTGACGTCACTCACAATCAATGCGGAAACATCACTAAATCACCCAAAGTCACCTTCCAACATCACTTTTCTCTCCCACGGTCACCCCTATCACAAAAACGGGCCCTATCGCCCTTGCGCTTAGGAAAGACGGTTGAGGGGATGAAATCAACCAACGCTTTCACTTTCATGGTACTGCGACCTGCCTGTAGCTTCGGAAAAGAAGCTGCACTGAACATCTTTGTGCCTGGATCTGTGTGCTACTATGTCTAACAATACATACAGTACGAGCCAACAGCAAAAATCAGTAGTTCATGCAGACCCTATTTTTGACTCGGAACCACACTTTGACAACTCTTTGTCTTCAGAAGAACGACCCTGTCAACTGCTCGGTCAACAAGATCGGTCGTTGCTCCCCGCGTTGTCACACGAAACCGACGCTCCGTCGAGTAATAACTGCATGACCGA